TTTTTTATCCAACACTCTGGCTCTATACACTCTTCTTTATTACTATTATTTTATTACTAGTTTTATTCCATCTTATTATTGTTGCTTTTTTATCCCAACACTCTGGCTCTATACACTCTTCTTTATTACTATTATTTTATTACTAGTTTTATTCCATCTTATTATTGTTGCTTTTTTATCCCAACACTCTGGCTCTATACACTCTTCTTTATTACTATTATTTTATTACTAGTTTTATTCCATCTTATTATTGTTGCTTTTTATCCCAACACTCTGGCTCTATACACTCTTCTTTATTACTATTATTTTATTACTAGCTTTTTTATTCCATCTAGTTTTATTCCATCTTATTATTGTTGCTTTTTATCCCAACACTCTGGCTCTATACACTCTTCTTTATTACTATTATTTTATTACTAGTTTTATTCCATCTTATTATTGTTGCTTTTTATCCCAACACTCTGGCTCTATACACTCTTCTTTATTACTATTATTTTATTACTAGTTTTATTCCATCTTATTATTGTTGCTTTTTATCCCAACACTCTGGCTCTATACACTCTTCTTTATTACTATTATTTTATTACTAGTTTTATTCCATCTTATTATTGCTTTTTTGCTTTTTATCCCAACACTCTGGCTCTATACACTCTTCTTTATTACTATTATTTTATTACTAGTTTTATTCCATCTTATTATTGTTGCTTTTTTATCCCAACACTCTGGCTCTATACACTCTTCTTTATTACTATTATTTTATTACTAGTTTTATTCCATCTTATTATTGTTGCTTTTTATCCCAACACTCTGGCTCTATACACTCTTCTTTATTACTATTATTTTATTACTAGTTTTATTCCATCTTATTATTGTTGCTTTTTATCCCAACACTCTGGCTCTATACACTCTTCTTTATTACTATTATTTTATTACTAGTTTTATTCCATCTTATTATTGTTGCTTTTTTATCCCAACACTCTGGCTCTATACACTCTTCTTTATTACTATTATTTTATTACTAGTTTTATTCCATCTTATTATTGTTGCTTTTTATCCCAACACTCTGGCTCTATACACTCTTCTTTATTACTATTATTTTATTACTAGTTTTATTCCATCTTATTATTGTTGCTTTTTATCCCAACACTCTGGCTCTATACACTCTTCTTTATTACTATTATTTTATTACTAGTTTTATTCCATCTTATTATTGTTGCTCTATTTTTATTCCCAACACTCTGGCTCTATACACTCTTCTTTATTACTATTATTTTATTACTAGTTTTATTCCATCTTATTATTGTTGCTTTTTTATCCCAACACTCTGGCTCTATACACTCTTCTTTATTACTATTATTTTATTACTAGTTTTATTCCATCTTATTATTGTTGCTTTTTATCCCAACACTCTGGCTCTAACTCTTCTTTGGCTATTATTTTATTACTAGTTTTTTATTCCATCTTATTACTATTATTTTATTACTATTATTTTATTCCAGTTTTATTTATTATTGTTGCTTTTTATCCCAACACTCTGGCTCTATACACTCTTCTTTATTACTATTATTTTATTACTAGTTTTATTCCATCTTATTATTGTTGCTTTTTATCCCAACACTCTGGCTCTATACACTCTTCTTTATTACTATTATTTTATTACTAGTTTTTTATTCCATCTTATTATTGTTGCTATTTTTTATCCCAACACTCTGGCTCTATACACTCTTCTTTATTACTATTATTTTATTACTAGTTTTATTCCATCTTATTATTGTTGCTTTTTATCCCAACACTCTGGCTCTATACACTCTTCTTTATTACTATTATTTTATTACTAGTTTTATTCCATCTTATTATTGTTGCTTTTTTATCCCAACACTCTGGCTCTATACACTCTTCTTTATTACTATTATTTTATTACTAGTTTTATTCCATCTTATTATTGTTGCTTTTTATCCCAACACTCTGGCTCTATACACTCTTCTTTATTACTATTATTTTATTACTAGTTTTATTCCATCTTATTATTGTTGCATTTTTTATCCCAACACTCTGGCTCTATACACTCTTCTTTATTACTATTATTTTATTACTAGTTTTATTCCATCTTATTATTGTTGCTTTTTATCCCAACACTCTGGCTCTATACACTCTTCTTTATTACTATTATTTTATTACTAGTTTTATTCCATCTTATTATTGTTGCTTTTTATCCCAACACTCTGGCTCTATACACTCTTCTTTATTACTATTATTTTATTACTAGTTTTATTCCATCTTATTATTGTTGCTTTTTATCCCAACACTCTGGCTCTATACACTCTTCTTTATTACTATTATTTTATTACTAGTTTTATTCCATCTTATTATTGTTTTTTTTATCCCAACACTCTGGCTCTATACACTCTTCTTTATTACTATTATTTTATTACTAGTTTTATTCCATCTTATTATTGTTGCTTTTTATCCCAACACTCTGGCTCTATACACTCTTTATTTTATTACTATTTTTATTTTTATTACTAGCTTTTTATTCCATCTTATTATTCTTTGCTATTTTTTATTCCCAACACTCTGGCTCTATACACTCTTCTTTATTGCTATTATTTTATTACTAGTTTTATTCCATCTTATTATTGTTGCTTTTTTATTCCATTTTTTATCCCAACACTCTTCTTTATGGCTATTATTTTATTACTAGTTTTTATTCTCTTATTACTTTTATTTTCTTACACTCTTTTTATTCCATTTTATTACTAGTTTTATTCCATCTTATTATTGTTGCTTTTAATCCCAACACTCCGGCTCTATACACTCTTCATTATTATTATTATTTTGTTACTATTTTTATTCCATCTTTGTTTTTATCCAGTCCCTCTGGGTCAATACTATCATCATTATCATCATCACATCATCGTCGTTCGTCCTGGGTATGACGATAAAGTACATCTGGAAGCAAGTCCTCTAATACGGAGGTTTTGAGGAGCGTATAGCCATTTGTTCCCAGATCCACCCTGAACTGGGGTGGTTGCACCTTCTAGAGTCCCAGCTTTGGGCAAATACTGAACCCCCAAACTGGGATCAAAGCATTATTGGAAAAGGAATAAAAAAATTACCAGCGATACATTTTTGAGAAAAAATTTCCAAACTCGTAAGAAAATTAAATTTCAACATTAAATGACTCATATGCAGTTGGTATGCTGTGAAACAACCCAAACTATACCAAATCGTTTTTCGTCGGTTCTATGACCAGATGTGGTCGTAGGGTCACTGCGCAACTGAGCACCTAAACAACCCACTCTCTATGTCTCTGTGGAATGCCAATATTTGAGTTTCTCCTAATGATCTTTCCGTTCACTCAATTATGTTGTCAGACCATTTTTCTTCCGTCTGCCTCTTCTTGTTTGGTTTGGTTTGGTTTGGTTTGGTTTACGGTATATCAACCTCAAAGGGTTATTTAATGCCGACAAAATTTTTATTGCTGGTAATTTTTTTTTCAAAACTGGACTGCTAGTAATATTTTTCCTTCAAAAAAATCTATTTCTGATAATATTTTTTTTCAAAAAAAGGATTTCTGGTAATTTTTTTTTTGCCTAAAATGTATTGCTGATAATAATGTATTAATTGTAATAATTTTTTTCTTTTAGAAAGTATTTCTGGTATTAAAACCTATTTTTACAGTTTCGACCCCAATTTGGGCGTTAACTATTTGCCCATAGTTGGGACCCTAACAGGTGCTACCACCCCGAATCAGGTTGTACCTGGGAACACCAGCAATTAAGCTATTTCAAATCCATCTTCTTGACGGTGCTTCTCCCAATGAACCCGTTTCTCGTCTATTGATGCCTAGCATCGTCGTTAGTGATGCAGTCTACGTAGTAGAAGCTTAGGATTGTTCTGTAGCATCTCATTTCTAATGCTTTCATTATTCACTGCAACTCTGCTGATGATATCAAAAGATTCACAAGGAGTAGCATTGTCCGCAATAGACTGATCTTTCCTTTCAAGTAGATATTCTTGTCTTGTCAGACTCTTCTAGACTCTTTATCGAAAGAAAAAATTCTTCTACTCTCCTACCGTAAAAAGAGAAGGTGCTTCTCAATGATTTCGTTGAAATTATTCAAACATGGGAACTCAGGCACAATTTTGTCTTTAACATCTTTATGCATTTTCCTGATTAATGGATTCTTCAAAACACAGGACCAAATATAAAAAGTTATGAGGTTCACACTGTAAAACTAGGCTCGTTGATACTTCTGACACCAGTTTAGAGTTTTGTTTTTGTTTTTTGTTTTTCACCGGTCTTCGTCTATCCAGAGGCATCGGTGTAGACAATCATCAACCCCAATCCCATTCATTAAATCATCAATTACAAAATTCATCTCGTCTATCCTGACCATCGTCATTGATTGCTTGTAGCAAGAATGGTTTTCAGTTTCTCAAATGTTGTTCTTTCATAATCCGTTGCAAAATTGATCTTGCAATTCCAGGCTCACTTGATTCTCTCCTCTGAGACAGTCTTAGATATTTGCCCAAATACTCTCTCACTCATTGAAGGTTTTCTGCACCTTCTCTCTTTTCGGCCTTCCTGTTCGTGGTATACATCCATTGCAATTTCACACTTTGACGTCTTAGTGGAATGGTTTCTGGCAATTATTAATGAATTTCTTAATGTCTTTGCTTTTGATCGTAATAACCTGTGTCACTGAATTCTTTATTATTCCTATTAACAGATTTTATTGTTGATTTTTGTCCCAAAACTTTGGGCAAATTCAAAACTTTTATCATTTTTACGAATTTTGTGGCATTTTTTAAAAAATATTATTTGAAGGAATTTCGATAGAAAATCGTACGACGCATGTGTTGGGTATTTCTATAAAAATTACGAAGTTTAAAAATTGAGGGTGGGTTTGGATGAGGGTTGTTGTGATAGTTGGGGTAAAATTATAACCGATGTACCCAAGAATTGTTTTTTAAATGGTGAGAAAGAAAATTAAGTATTATTCTGCAGGAGAAGAAAGAAAGGAATCAGATATCTATATAAAAAAAAAAGGAAAATGAAAATGAAAGATGACTGAAAAAAGGAAAAATAAAAGAAAGAAAGAAAGAAAGAAAGAAAGAAAGAAAGAAAGAAAGAAAGAAAGGAAGAAAGATATGAAGGGAATTGGGAATGAAAGTTTAGTGACTGTGAACGAGAAAAAGGAAAGAAAAAAAGAAATGTTAAGAATCGATACATAATGCTTAAAGATGACGAAAGAAAGAAAAAAATAAAAAATAAAGAATGAGGGAAATGTAGGAAATTGAGACGGAAATGTTAATGAATTTAAACGAGGAAAAAGAAAGAAAGAAAGAAAGAAAGAAAGAAATGTAAGGAATTGATACCTAATGCTTAGCAATTGCGAAAGAAAGAAAGAAAGAAAGAAAGAAAGAAAGAAAGAAAGAAAGAAAAAGAAAGAAAGAAAGAAAGAAAGATAGATAGATAGAAAGAAAGAAATGTAGGAAATTGAGTGTAGTGACTGTGAAAAAAAAAGAAAGAAAGAAAGAAAGTAAGAAAAGAAAAGAAAGAAAGAAAGAAAGAAAGTAAGAAAAGAAAAGAAAGAAAGAAAGTAAGAAAAGAAAAGAAAAGAAAGAAAGAAGGAAAGAAATGAAAGGAATTGATACCCAATGCTTAGCAATTGCGAAAGAAAGAAAGAAAGAAAGAAAGAAAGAAAGAAAGAAAGAAAGAAATGAAAAGAAAAGAAAAGAAAAGAAATGAAAAGAAAAGAAACAAAGAAAGAAAGACAGTAATAAAGAAAGTAAGACTGATTCATGAACGGACAAAGAATAATGTTAAATCCGGAAGGAGTTAAAACAGAAAATCCTAATAACAATCTCGAACTTTTGGAATGAAAGTCAAAAATATTTACAAAGAAAAAAAGGAAGAAAACGCATGTGAACCTCACCTCACCATAAAGCAATGCCTCGTCTCTCTTAATATACAGACTGGGAAAGAAGTTACTTTACCATAATACTATTTTATAGACTTTATGAATTTATATTTATAAATTAATAAATTAATTATATTTATAAATTAATTTATAATATATAAACTTGTAAATTTTATCTTTAAATTCAAACACTTTTTCAGCTTCAATATGCATTTTCGTTCTAATTTTTTAAAATGAATTTATTTTTATTACTTTTTTTTTTAATTTAACTTATTTTATTTATCCAGATTGAATGAAAAAATTATGGTCGCCCCTTTACAGCAAAGAACTTTTTCAATCAAAAACTAGTTAGTATCCGAAAAAAAAGCAACGTAAGAAAAAGAAAACTTCAAGAATAATTGCCAGAAAGCATTCCACCAAGACGTCAAACAAAGTGTGAAATAGCAATGGATGTATATCACGGACAGGAAGGCCGAAAAGAGAGAAGGCGCAGAAAACCTTCAATGAATAAGAGAGTATTTGGGCAAAAATCCAAGACTGTCCCAGAGGAGAGAATCAAGTGAGCCTGGAATTGCAAGATCAATTTTGCAACGGATTATGAAAGAACAACATTTGAGAAACTGAAAACCATTCTTGCTACAAGTAATCAATGCCGATGGTCAGGATAGACGAGATGAATTTTGTAATTGATGACTTAATGAATGCGATTGAGTTTGATGATTGTCTAGACCGAGCTCTCTGGATAGATGAAGACCGGTTCAAATTTAATGGAAAAGTAAAACACACACAACTGTGTTCACTAAAGTACACAAAACTCTAAACTGATGTAAGAAGTATCAACAGGTCTGGTGTTACAGTGTGAATAGAAATCTCATAACTTTTTATATTTAATCCTGTGTTTTCGAAGAATCCATTAATCAGGAAAATGCTTAAAGATGTTAGGGAAACGGCAAATAAAAAAAGGCTATAAAATAAATGATCACCATAACTCATGCTTACGATCCATCGCTAGAGATACTGTTACAATTGTCGACTCTTTGTGCCTGCTCCAGAAAGTTCTTGGCTCCTTTTAGCATTTTTTTTCTTTTTATGTGCCGTGTCCTTTCAGGACGTAGGCGATCATGGCTCTCCACTCTTCCCCCTATCTCTTGTAGTTCTCAATGTTTCGTTTCTCTGCCCCCCCACAAACCGCGTTCTGTTATCTACTTGCTTAAGCCTGCCAGGTATGTCATGCGCTGCTTTCTCTTGTCTCTCTTTCTCTCTATTCGACTTGTGAGTATCTGATTCTCCAGACTCTCCTTTCTCATTACGTGTTCCAGAAACTTCAGCTGCCTCTTCCTGATATGAAGTATAAGCTTCCTCCTTGTTTGCATCCCCTCTAAGACCACAATGTTGCTCCCATGTTCGGTCCATGATATCCTTAGCATCCTTCTTTAGAACCACGTCTCTGTCGCCTCGAGTTTCTTCTTCGTCTTTGAGGAGGATGTCCAACATTCGCTTCAGTAAAGGACAGATGTCACGTAACAACTCAGTATTTTTTTTTATTTTTTTTTTATTATCAAAGAGATCCTCCTGTCTCTTAATACTCTGCCCAGCTTTTGGAATGCGTCCTTGGCCATCCCAATACGTCTACGGATCTCAGTGTCGCACTTGTCGTCCTCTGTCAAGACTTCCGCACCGGCTTGAATTTAGTGTCCCAGACCTGCAAATCGCATTTCGGGCTCCTTTTACTGATGACCATGCATTCTGTCTTCCCGGAGTTTATGCTTAGTCCCTTTTTCTCGCTCCCCTTCGCTAACTTCTGTAGAAGGTTTTTTTTAATTTCTTTTCCGTATCTGCTATCAGTACTGTGTTATCTGCATATCTTATGTTGTTAAGATTGTGGCCGCCGATTCTAAATCCTGGTAGGATTCTCTCAAAATTGCCTCAATGTATAGGTTGAATAGGTCCGGTGAGAAGACACACCCTTGCCTTATGCCCCTTTCTATTTTTATATGTTCGCTGAACTCGTTTTTTATGCGCATGTATGCCGTTTGCTACCAGTATAGGTTCGTGATTATTCTAATATCTTTCCCGAATATATCAAGGTTTCTGAGTAGTTCTAACAGATCCTTGTGGCGTACTTTGTTGAAGGCCTTTCCGTATTCTATGAAACCTAGATACACGTCCGTCTGCATTTGTATCACTCTTTCTGATAACATTCTGAGCATGAATATCACATTCCTTGTTCCAGTTCTTTAACGAACCCGCACTGTTCTTGTCCTATCTCTGGCCTGATTCTGCTACGCGCTCTATTCATCAGAATACGGATGAATTTATTGCTGACTTATCTGGCCTGGAACTGCATAATCCTCACTTTCTTTCACAGAGTTCAAAAATGTTTACACGGCCTTGTGAATGACGAATTATTTTCACTCTCTAACCCTCTTCCTACAAAAGCAACATCGCAATCCCATCGCCGGTTTATCGCTATATATATGACAAATGTTCGAACGGGTCCATTTTTTTTAGCTCCACCAGTTCAGACGTTTACAGCAAGACACGCCTTGCCACGTCCCCACGGTTGAATCATCCTCATTCTCCACGTATTCCATTGGGAAGAGGGACGTTCCACTCAGCATTTTTCAGGTCCCACCCTTTCAGTGTCGAAACGGTTAAATGTAACCGCCTCTTCTACTCCAACAGCTTCTTCTCTTGCACTCCCCGTCTGTGGAACTCCCTTCCTCTTACTTGCTTCCCTGATATCTATAATCATCAAATATTCAAGTGTGATGTCAATCGACATCTTCTTATACCATGGTCTTGTTCTCCGTCCTTCTCTGTATCCTTTCCTCAAACACGCCCCTTTACTCTTGTTCTCAATCCTCTGTGACTCCTTATATGCTAGTGGCACTCCTGCTTTGATTGGAGAGAATTGCTTAAAATAAATTGTGGAACAGACTCCCACGTGGATACTTTCCTGAACACTCTACTGTAAACCTTTTCAAGTCTAGGTACAAGCGTTATCTATCCTCTATATCATTATACTCCTATTTCCTAGCCTTTTCGTTCATATAACTAAAACATTCAGTAATTCTCTACCTTGACTGGCTCTTGAGCCTTGTATTGGGTGAACATTAGTATAAAAAACAATGTAACAAGTGAAATTTAATTATAGAAGAGCATTTAGGAAGGATATTAGAATAATCCAGAACTAATACTGGGAGAAAACTACCTGCATGCGAATTGAAAATGAATTCAGTAAATATATAAAAATAGAAAGGGGCGTGAGACAAGAATAGGTCTTCTCGCCGGACTTATTCACCAAATGAGGCAATCCTGAGAGAGTTAGAAGTGCTGACAGATTCCATTATTGGTGGCCACAATCTTAACAACCTAAGATGCACAGATGACACAGTGTTAACAGCAGGCACAGAAAGGAAACGACAGGAAGTCCTCCAAACGATATTAAAGGAAATTGTTAACAAAAAGAAAATCCCAACATGTAAATTACAAACTAAAAATACCAAAATCAAACAAGTACAACAATTTAAATAAGTGTTTTAACAGAGGACGGAAAGTGTGACACCGAAATCCGAAGACATTTTTGGATAGGGAAAATGCCATCATAAAGCAAAGCAAAGTATTAAGAAACAGGAAAATTTCAGTATCTGTCTATATTTCTGAGATGAGGTATTATGTACACTATTGACATTATTCGGACTATTGTCCTCATCTTCTTCGCCATATTTATTACAACGTGTCTATATTTCTGAGATGAGGTATTATGTACATTATTTACATTATTCGGACTATTGTCCTCATCTTTGTCGACATATTTATTACAACGTTTCAGCCCTTCAGTATCTGTCTATATTTCTGAGATGAGGTATTATGTACACTATTTACATTATTCGGACTATTGTCCTCATTCCAGTCGAATCCATTACATTCAGTTACGTGCTAATACCCTTAGGAAAGGTATGAATCCTCTTCTTCTCCCCCCAGCTATGGGTAAATAGCAGAACTGACTGGGTTCTATAGCTTTGGATGGCAACTGGTCTACCACAGAAAGAAATGGCAATCTATTGCGGGAAAAAAATCTGCCTTGTCTGCTTTGTCGAAAGATACATGATCACCTAAACTTGTATCACGCATGGCACATGAATGAATAAAATCTCGTCTCAGAAATCCAAATCATTTTGAAAACTGTAGGAATGTCTTCAATACCCTAACCTGTGGCAGTGAATCTCGAATTATGACAGATAGGAGAACCACTTAGCAGTCTTCCATCTCCGCGACCTACGACAAATCCTTGGTATCGTATGGCAAGATAATAATTACAAACACCGCTTTACTGTAGCAGATGGGATTCTTCAGCTTATATCTTTTCCTCTGCCAGCGACGATTCTGAGAGTTGGGTCATGTTCAACGAATGTAGGATGGTCGAATACCAAAAGATATTATGTAACGTTGAGCTGGCCACAGGTCAACGCCAGGTAGATCACTCTGTTCAGCGTTTTAAGAATGTCGGCTAGGGCGACTTGAAATTCACACACATTGATTCGGATAACTGACCTCAACTTGAAGGTGACCATAGCAAAAGTATGACAGGCATAGCACATAACTGACGAAATATGGCAAGGTTACTTAAAATAATGATACGAGTAGGAGTCCCTTAAATACAGGAAGTAAACAAAATGAAGATGCAGTAGACGAATATAGATAGAATCTAATAAAAAGAAGAAAGGAAAAGAAAGGAAGGGTTTCCGGTAATATAAAAATAATGGACATGATATATATATATATATATATATATATATATATATTAATGCATGTTTCATCAAATAATATACACAAGTTTTGTCCATTTATTTTAAGAAGTTCCTTTCATATTGTCGGAT